GGTCTGGTTAGGCCTGTCAGGAGACAGTCCCCGTCAACCTTGATTGTGTTATCTGTCCAACCCAGCCCTGCAAATTGAACACCAACCAGACCACAAGAACCCACTGTGCATCTTGCCTGGCCCTCTGGGAGGGGTGACATTGGCACTGTTTATCCAGCACAGCCCCACGTATTTATTCTACCATCCACTGTGGCCATATTGGGGACCAAGATGCCAGACTGTGCAGTTTAGGGGACCCTATGCTGCTGATGCCACAGTGGAACTCAGCTGGGCCACCTTTATTTGCTTTGCTCTGGAGTCTGAGCCAGGGACCTACTTTCCCTGAAAGGTGACCTATGTGTGGGCAAAGAAGATGTCACTGGCAACTGGTGGGCCAGTGGGCTGTGGGGATGAGTAATGGGTAGAGTTGGGACTAGGTGACAGGTGTGGCTGGGTTTGGCACATGAGGGCTAGGGGAGTGGGGCAGATGGGCTTATCTTGGCCTTGTGAGGTGGGGGACGGACTAAGCCAGAGGTGGGAGAAGAGAAAAATCTGCTACAGAAAGAGGAGGTGAATGAGAGGCCACTGCAAAGCACCCAGGAGGCCCTTTGGAGGAAAATTCAAGTCTGCCTCCTTATTTGCGGGGCTGTCAGATGGCTCCTACCTTGCGGGAACACATGAACCCACCAAGGGAATTCCGACTGCCCTTTGGCAAGGAAAGTGCAGGGAATATGATTGTCCCTCAACAAAGACAGAGCTGGCTTACCTCCTCCAGGAAGGAGGCCTTCCCTGACCTGCTCTTCAGCTCCCACAGGATCCTGTTCATCCGTCCTCCCCATTTCCCATCACTTTAGAGCGTGTTTTTCAACCTTTTTTATCTCACAGCGTAGTTGAACTTACAGTTAAACAAACTTCCACGGTACACTTAAATTATGTTGATCAAAAAAAGGTTAAAAAAAAAAAAGAGTATATTTACTGTGCTTTGAACTTCTTTTGAAAGTAGTTTAATTAATGATCCTTAAAAATTTTCCCAGCACACTTAAGATCTTCCCACAGCACACCAGTGGGCCACGGCTCACCAGTTGAAAATCACTGCTCTAGGGTTTGCTTGTCTATCTCTAGCACCAGATCAAAGGTTCACAGACTTCTTGGTGGCAATCAGGAATCTGCATTTCTAAGAATCCCCACCCTGGGCTCTGGGCTCCCGCGTGGTCTGTTCCAGAGCCCAGCGTACTGCGCTTGTCACCCTGGGCCAGGTAAATCTCTACACTTCAAGAACCATTGTGTTCTAGAGCAGCTGTCCAGTAGAAATGTAATGGGAGCCACAAATATCATCTTAAATTTTCTAGTAGCTGCTTAAAAACATAAAAAGAAACAGGTGAAATTAATTTTTAAAGTATTTTATTTATATCTTGATGTACCTATAGCATCATTTCTACATGTAATCAGTACAAAAATTATTAATGAGATAGTTTGCCTTCTTTTCTCTATTGTACTAAGTCTTTGAAACCCAGTGCACATTTTACAAACACATCACATCTCAGTTTGGATAGGCCACATTTCAAGTGCTCAAAACCACATGTGGCTAGTGGCTACCAGGATGGCACAGCTCTAGAGCTCTGCTACTAAGAGAGTGGCCCACAGACCAGCAGCTTCAGCATCACCTGCAAGCTTGGGAGAAAGGTGGGGTCTCAGGCCCTGCCCAGACCTACCTGCACGTTCATTGCCGTGAGGTGTTTTGGATGCACATCAGAGGGTGGGCAGCAGTGCCCCAAAGCTAGATGGCAAGCTCCTTGGTGCAAAGACTGCAGTTCACCTTATTTCTAGCACCTAACAGAGGACCTGGCATCTAGAAGGCAGTGTTTTTTTTTTTTGTTTGTTTTGTTTTTTGTTTTTGGAGGGAAGAAATGAATGTGTGGATCTTGCCTGCCTGCTTCTCCTCACTCTTCTCAGCACTGAGTTCTCCATGCACCGTTAGTGAGAATCTCTGAGTTCTTGGAGGAAAATGCAGGGGTCAGAGAACATATGTGTGCCAGAGCTGGGGAAACTTCAAGTTTAGGTAGCTTAACTCCCTCAAACCCCAGAGAGATACAGCAGCGTGGGTAAGATCCCATGCTTGTCAACTGGCTTAGGAAGAGAGGTGGTTCAGATAAGGGCGAGTCACTCCGTGCCTCGGACATCTCTGTATCGTCAGAAACCTATGGATTCATTGCTCCGAGGCCTCAGGCCTGGCCTCCCCATATTCATTCATGTAATCTCATTCTTCTTCTGGGAGAGATTTAAGGCAGTTATAAATGTGTATGGAATACAACAAGATAAAACAAAAATTAAAGTATGCTAGTAGTAAGGAAGTGAGCCTGGACACGTGGGCAAGGATGATCATGGTAGCATTATGCAGAGGAGTGAAGAGTCAGCAACCTGATATCTGAGAGTAGAGAAATGGGTGAGTAAACCATGGCTGACCCAAATGTTGAAAGTCTGTGTCACAGTTAAGAACAGCAATATGAAAATACTCACTGACATGGAAAAGTACGATTATGTAGCAAAAAGTATTTATCCATTCATTGTCTCTACGTGCATGGGAGAATACCTAGAAAGGACATATATGAATGCCATTTTTTCAGGGAGAGAGATCACATGACTCTTATTCTCTTTTTAACTTCCCCACTGCTTCTGCAATTTCTAGGGGATTTTTTTTCCCCCTCAGTGAACATGATTTGCTTATGTACTATAAAAATGACATTTGTAAAAACAGAATATGGGTGAAAAAAAATGGGAAAAGGAGAAAATAAGAGATTTTGTCTCATCTGTGTATTTGAAAATTTATTAATTAAAAAGAAATTCTTAGTACATGTTTCTATTATTATGGCCCAGTGGCTGTATTTCCACTTAGCAGGCAATTATTAAATGCTTGAGAGTGAAAACTCGTGTGCCAGCTTTCTTTAAATGTCTATTCAGGGAAGTGAAAGTTAATCACAGTATAGTCTCTATCTTGTTTTGAATGGAATTCATCAATGACCTGCCTTTCATATGTGGGATCTGAAAAGCCTGAGTCTATTGGGTAATAATTGTGCAAGAGACATCCTAAATTCATAGCTGATGGATGGGTGAGTGGATGGATGGAAATACACACACACACACACACACACACACACACACATATTCTAGCCTAGCACCATGCTATAGTTCAGATGTTTGTCCCCTAAGCCTCATGTAAATTTGATCCCCAGTGTTGGAGGTAGGCCTAATGGGAGTTTGGGTCATGGGGTGGATCCCTCATGCATGGCCTGGAGCCATCCTCATGGTAGTGAGTTCTTACTCTATTGGTTCCCCCAGGGCTGGTTGTTAGAGACTGGCACCTTCCTCCCCTCTCTCTCTTGCTTCCTCTCTGGCATGTGATCTCTGCACACCCTGGCTCCCCGTCACCTTCTGCCATGAGTGGGAACAGCCCAAGGGTTAAACCAGATGGCCAATCATCCTCCAGCAGATGTGAACCAGACAAACCTCTTTTCTGTGCAAATTATCCAGCCTCAGGTATTCCTCCATGGTGACACAAACCACTTTCCACCACCTCTAATGCGAATGCCTTGGTCCAAGTTGCCTTCAGCAGGCTCCTGACTGCTGTCCCTGCTTCTGCCCTTTGCCCATTCACTGCACTATAGGTAGAGCCATCTTTTCAACACACAAGTCAGATCATCTCTCTTCTCTGCTCAGAAGCCTTCAGGGCCTCTCCTTCCTTCAATCTGAATAAATCCTGAGTCTGGCTCATCCTGCCTCTCAGATCTCATTGCCTGTCCCTGTGCCCGGCTTAAGCCTTACCAACCTTTTCAGACTTCTTACGCTTCCTGTTCTACCTGCCTGGAACATTCTCCCAGTGTGGCTCCCACCTCCAGTGGGTCTCTGCTGAATTGCCTTCTGATTTGGAAGGCCTTCCCCACCCCATATGAAATAATAACACCTGTCCTACACCAGTACCTCCTCCTGCATCATTTTTCATCATAGCGTTAAGCACCCCTTGCATAAGACATGTATGTGTGTATTGTTTGTCTCTTTCCACCAGCACGTCAGTTCCCTGGGGGCAGGGGCTTTGCTTCTTTCCATAGTGCCCAGTGCTCTAAATAGGTGCTTAAAAGACACTTGAAGGGAGGGAGGAATGAATGGACTTAAGGTATCATGTGCAGGAAAGGCTCCATGCCTCACCCAAGGTCACGTGGCTGGGGTGGCAGGGCCAGATGCTGGCTCTGCCCACCTTGCCCCAACTCCTCACTCACCTCAGGAGGGTGAGCTCCAGACACAGGACCCTGGCCTTGTCCATCCTGTCTCTTGTGTGTTTTTCCAGTTTACACAGAAATTCAGCCTAGAATAACAGAAGAAAACACAATTGTTCCTCCAGAATCTTGGAAAGTATTCCAGTAGGTCTTCCCCTGAAAAAACAGCAGTGATCTCAGGGTGGGAAGGTAGGAAGTGAATGAGGAGGGGTCTTCCAGCACTGGGGGCAACACGATGAATTTGGTTTTGCAATTAAAATAACATCTGGATCTGTTTCCACAGAGTGGTTCTGGAAGGTGGGTGGTCTGTCTAAAGCATCAGGTGGGGCCTTCCCTATTCTGGCCCAGGAGGGTTTGAGATGGCTGGGTCTGAAGGATTCACCCAGCAGATGAAATATGAAAGAACAGAGCCCAAAGAAGCCTCCAGAAGCCCCATCTGCAGCCTGGCCTGAAAGCCTGCTGGTCCCTTCCCCAGCCTTGTCTGGGGCAGCCCCAGATACTGCCCCCCCCAGCTCAGTGCCCCCACTCCTCCTTGAGATTGTTTAGACACCTCCTTCGATGTACAGAGAGCTCTGGCCTCCTCCCTTTCATGCTCCATGTGGTGTGTTAATCGTCTGTGAAATGAGGGATTTTAGGCATCACTCATCCGTGTGAGGACAGAAGGGCCCTGGAGCAGTGCAGTGGAGTGGGAAGGGACAATGACAGCTATTCCAGTCTTCTGAATCCTGTCCCTCTGTCTGTCTGGTTTCTCAGATGCAGCTTTTGGATAAGTTTCCCATTGAAGGTGGCCAGAAGGACCCCAAGCAAAGGATCATCCCCTTCCTCCCAGGTAAGCTTTGGGTGGCCTCGCCGAAGGGATGGGGTCAGCCTGGAAAAGGATGTTACATAGGCCAAGAAGAGGCTGGCTACTAAGCTGGAAGTTCTGGGTGGGATGGGCCTAGAAATCTGCATGTTTCAAATTCCCCAAGGGACTGTGAAACACCTGATTTTGAAGTTTACTTTCCTCCAAGTAGCTTCTCCTACCATTGCAAGACCATCTCTGCTGGCTCATGGCTCATAGCTTCTAAGGATTTCTCAAACTCCTAGACTTTGGTTTCTTTTTCACAAAAAGCACAGAGAGATCTAGTTCTCTTGTGAATGGATGAAGAGCTACAGATTGAGCTATCTCCATGGACTTCTATTCCAATCGCAGATGAGCTGAGATTGTGCACATGCGCTGGGTCTGGTCTTCTAGTGGCCACGTCACCTCACACAGATGAGGCCACTTATTCTATTTTGGAACATGTTCAAAGCAATTGGTTATGTTGTATAATTTAGAGGAAAACTCAGGTATATCAAAACCTGTCATTACCATGATGTCTTACGTCTGTATGGGGATTTATAGCTTACAGAGTGCTTTTTTTGTAACTGTCTATGCATCTTCACACTAGAGCAAGTATCTTAATGTCCCCCTGAGGGGCAAAGATACTGAGGTTCAGTAAGGTTAAGTAACTGCCCGTAGAGGCGATGGAGCTGAGGCATGAACTCTGGCCTCCTGCTTCACAGCTGGCTCTGCCCTGGACCATGTGGACAATGTTTTCTCCAGGCTCTCCAGATGCTCTGCCTTCCCCAGGGGAGCTCTCGGCACATGGGCTTCTCCAGGCTTAATGCTGGCTCTGGGCCTTCAGTGGGCCAGCTCAGGACAGCCAACAGATGGACCTTTGCAAGGGGCAGGGCCTCCAGCTCATTCACTCCTGGCATGCTGCCAACCCACAGTTAGCGCCTACCCTTGTTGACTTAAAACAAACCTAGGGGCTCCCCCCTGGAAGAGTGGTTCCTCTCTGAAAGGTGTTTCTCATGCATCCCTCCCTCTTCAGAAGCATCGAAAGACATGTATGGGTATCACTGCCTATCCTCAGGGGCTTATGCAATAGTTGATTCTTCATTTAAGAATTCTTTTAGGCTTGGCACCTGTAACACAGTGGTTACAGCACTAGCCACATGCACCGAGGGTGGCGGGTTCGAACCCAGCCCTGGCCTGCTAAACAACAATGACAACTGCAACAACAATAACAAAATAGCCAGGTATTATGGCAGGCACCTGTAGTCCCAGCTACTTGGGAGGCTGAGGCAAGAGAATAACTTAAGCCCAAGAGTTTGAGGTTGTTGTGAGCTGTAATGCCATGATACTCTACCAAGGGTGACATAGTGGGACTCTGTCTCAAAAAAAAAAAAAAAAAAAAGAATTCTATTAACTATAGAAAAGAACTTTTAAATCCCACAGTTTGGGAAAGAATAGAACTAGTCAGTGCGGGTATAGGGAGGAATCTCAGCCTCCTGGTTCTTCCATGGAGGCAGAGAATGGTTTTTCCATTTCTGGCCTGGGAGTTAAGATGTGACTTTCATGCCTTGCTTGGCTCTGTACTGAGTCTTGAATGGAATGCCCTACACCCAGGTTTGTAATGTCCTTAGATCTTGCTCCAATGTAGTTTAGATGTACTCAATGCCTGGGAGCCCAGCTGTGATGCTGGGAGTACAGATGTCCTACAGGCAACATGAGGCCATGGTGGCCTGATCTTGGGGCCCAACGGTCACCTTTTTGCTTTAGAAAAATAGGCTTCTTCCTCAGCTAGCCTCTAGGGCACCTCATTACTATTCAGTCAGCAGGTGTCTCCCAGGGGTTCAGCCTGTGCCAAGCTGATGGGTGAGGGTGGCCCAGTGAGTCAAGAGACAATCTGGATTTATTTCCTTTGTCTAAGAACTCTCCACCTAGTGAGAGAGCAGACCTGCTCCATAACCAGAGGACCATGTAAGGCAGGATGTGGCCCTCTCTACCACTGGGCAATCCCAAGGGTGACTGGAGAGGGAGCTCAAAGGGCAGCCAGTTCATTGTGAGCTGAGGAAATTGGCAAAGGCCTCCTGAAAGAGGCAGCCCTGGAGCCGACCCTCAAAGGAGGCCAGGTGAAAGGCAAGGTTGTGTACTGCCGTGACCACCACCCCGTGTCTTAGGAATCAGACCACGTGGGCTCACCCAGAAACCCTGGCTCTGTGGTTACCAGTTGTATTAACTTCTCTGTGCTTTAATTTCCTTATCTGGAAAATGGGGATGATAACAGTATCTCCTCCCTGGGGCTGTTGCCAGGAATCTCAGGTATTTAAAATTATGGCCCACCCCAGTAGGGGCTAAATAAATGTTAGCCTTCATTATTACCAATTTTTCATGGGTGCCTAGCATTTCACACTACACTTTCACATACATAATCTTTTTTTCTTGAGGCAAGAGTCTCAAGCTGTGGCCCTGGGTGGAGTACTGTGGTGTCACATCTCACAGCAACCTCAAATTTTTGGGCTTAAGCAATTATCTTGCCTCAGCCTCCAAAGTAGCCAGGACTACAGGCATCCACCACAACACCCGGCTATTTTTTTGTTGTAGTTGTCATTATTGTTTAGCAGGCCCAGGCCGGGTTCAAACCCACCAGCCTCGGTGTATGTGGTCAGCACCCTACCAACTGAGCTATAGGTGCCACCCACATACATAATCTTTCTTTTCTTTTGTTTTTTGAGACAGAGTCTCACAGTAGACTGTATGTATAGACTGTACAGTGTCTCACAGTATGTCGCCCTCAGTAGAGTGCTGTGGTGTCACAGCTCACAGCAACCTCAAACTTGGGCTTAAGCAATTCTCTTGCCTCAGCCTCCCAAGTAGCTGGGACCACAGGTGCCCTCTGTAACACATGGCTATGTTTTTGTTCTATTTGTTATTGTTGTTTGGCAGGCCTGGGCTGAATTTGAACCTGCCAGCCCCGTGTATGTGGCTGGTGCTCTAGCCACTGAGCTACAGGCACAGAGCCCACATACATAATCTTATTCCATCCCCTCAGGGAGGTTATTGTCCTCATTTTACTGACTAGGGAGTTTAGACCAAGGGACGCTAACACTTGTACAAGGCCATGCAGCCAAAAGTGTGGCCAACAGCAGAACTTAATCCTGACTTCCGGAGCAGGACTCCCTTCCACGGCAGCTGCCCCTGGAAACTGAAATGCAGCACCTGCTGTGGGACTGAGGACCTCTCTGGACTAGTTTCCTCTGATAGGATTGAGGTGAGGATTAAAAGAATTCCTGTAAAGCACTCTGCAGGGCACCTGTCTTATAGTAAATGCTCAATAAATGGCAGCTGTTAATACAGTCACTTGCCCCCACACCACGTGGGAAAAGTCAAGCTTGGGGTCACTTTCCAGCTGCCATGCAAATGTGACTGGTATATAGCAGGTGATCCTGGTGAGAGGATGAGGTCAAGTTGCCCGACCCCACAGCCCACCCTAAAGGAAACATCTTCTGTTCCTTGGCTCTGCTTTTTTCTCCCCTCCCTTCAGTGGAGTTCCCTCTTGGACTCTGCTCTTTTGCTCCCTTACTCGTGGAGATTTGAGAATGGTCATGGCTGGCCATTTGGGGCTCCCAAGCCCTGTCTGTTCTAAGCTCTGTTCTAAGCTCACCAGAAACTACCGTAACCCCCCTGCCCCCTCCTCTCTCCTTAGCTTGGACATGAAGGGAAAAGGTTCAGGAAAAATGACTCAACACAGTCAGAACCCGGCTGGGGTCAGCTGTATAGATGTGAGGAGTCCCCAGCTTTCCCTTCATTCCTTCCTCCCAGGAAGGAGAGGGTATCAGAGAAGGGCAGTGATGAGCATCACCTATCGTAAGTCAACCTCTCTAAAAGCAGAGCCTGAGACAAGGACGCACTGACTTGGAGGGCATGCTCCCTGCGAAATTCCTGCAGCAGGGAAGGAAGGGGACAGGCTGGGGAGGAAGCAAGGCAGAGATGTGGGTTCAGCTAAGTCTGCCTCAGCCTGATCCACGGGGAGCTCGGGACGGTGAGTGGCACCACAGAGCTGTCCCATCTTAGGGGACAATTTCTATGCCCCCAGTTCATCATGCATTGTTTGTGGGCTGTCTTCTCCCACAGAAGCATGGGCGCAGTGGCTCAGGGTGACCAGGGCATGTGTCTGGAGGGGGCAGCTGTGAGCCCTTAGCAGCTCACACTCATAGTAGCTGAGGGGAGGAGCCTCAGCGGAGACAGGAGCTCTGGGCAGTGCACTTATGGCACCTGCCCTGTGACCCAACACTCTGTTTCTATGCCTCTGCTTTTGGGGAGAGTGTCTGAAGTCACCCCTAGCAGCTATGCCTCCACAGAGCCCCAGAGAACATAAACCCCAAGGAGGGTTGGCAGCAGCCTTCGCCTCATCTGAGATTTCAGAGCAAAGAAAACCCAAGGGGAAGAGAGCACCCATTTTTTCCCAGAAGGGTCTCAGTTTTAGCTCCACAGTTGCTGGGATGCAGTGAGCTTTTCTGCTGTCTGGGTATGAGGTCTCAGGGGGTGTCCTTGGAGCATTAGGTCCACCTGGCCCCAGGTTCATGACTGTTTGGTGGAGGTGATGGAGCAGAGGAATGGAGAGACAGAGGGAACCCATGGCTTGGTTATGGGCTTATTCATCTGCCAGTCAAATCCTAGCAGAAAATCTTGCACATGAGCATTAATCTGGGATCTAGGGCACAGGCTTGTGGTATGTCTGGGTGGTGTATGGCCTGAGTTTAGGGTCAGCCTGTAGGTTTGAAAAGTGGTGTATCCCTGGGCCTCCTGTGACCAAGGCAGAGGCTCCATCCCTGGAGAAAGTGACCCAGACAGTGCCCATTGGCTCGTGGATGCAGATAGGGTGTTGTGCAGTGGTGCTAGGGAAGAGTGGGACTCGGAGAGTGTCTGTAAGCTAAGCCAACCAGGTGGTAGAGTGGGAAACCAGTGCACTTGTAGACCCAGGGGGCTGACATTTGCACATCAATCAAATCCTGTATAAA